TTATTACAATGCATCGATGCATTTTGCTATCTTTTCACATTTCTTCCCATTAGATTTTTTGTAAGTTCTCCTATCACTTGTCGGTAATGAGTCAGAATAGAATGTTGTAGATGTCAGTGATGGGTTTTGTATTACGGTTGCGACCGTGGACCTCTGCTGAAACATGCGACTTTTTCAAGGTTTGGATCATCATTCTTGGTTCAATCCTTATGCAACACATAGGTTCGTCTTAGGTTCAAAATATCCTGTGTTAAGGTTATTAATTCGTTTTTTTTTTTCTAGACACATCGGTCGTGTATCATCAGGTACGTGGTCAAGGGGTTATAAAGCTCTACATATTTTATAATATGCTCGAGGTAGCGGACAAGCTTTTCAGTAGCTTGGGCCAGGTAAAGTATGATTTTCCGCGCTGAAATATATAAACCTGCAAAACTTGGTTTTTAGGATATCCTTGATGCTTTGTTTTGGACAGCAAATGAGCCGAAAACGTTTAGAACAATAGTGAGGACCGTATTCCATTTTGTATTCGCTCTTTCCTACGCTACAATCCATACATTCTTGGTTTTACTGCAGGTAGATTCAACATCATTCATGTATCATATCTAGCATCAGCCGCTTATGTTAGTATTAGGATACCTGTAGTAGTCATAAATGGGTGGTTTGTTTTAGGCCACTACCCTAAATGTTGCTTTCAACTCGCACAATCAAGCGCTTTTGGCAATAATGATGTCCAATAACTTTGTGGAGCTGAAAGGATCAGTGTTCAAGAAGTTTGCCAAGGCAAATCTGTTCCAAATGGCTTGCAGGTCAATTAACTATTACCATAGCCTATAGTAAAAATTATTACCCAACTTTAGTATTTTTTTTCGTTTAAAGCTCGTGTATTACCTTCCAGTGACGTTCGCGAGCGATTCCATATCATTGCTTTGTTGTTCGTTGTGATGGTGCGAAATATGATAGCTGTGAACTGGAGCAGTGAACATTTACGGGAAATGATGCCTGATATAGTGAGTATTGCCTCATGTTCTTTGTTTTCTTCGCTGTTAATAAAATTCTTTTTAGTTTATGGTAGTAGGAGCTGAGTTACTGGTGGACTGGTTGAAACATGCTTTTATCACAAAGTTCAATGAAATCAACGCAGAAGTTTACAGGGGTATGGTGCGCATATTTTAAGAAATTCCGTTTATGGGTAGTCACATTTCTTTCATATGCAGCATTATACAAATATTCATTGATTTTGTAGGCTGAACAGTTGTAAGGCTCACAAACTTTTCAGATTTCACCATAACCATAGCTTTTGATGTTGTGAAAAGCCGTGACACGTCGGCCTTTAGTGATTACTCTGATCAGGTTAGTTCCATTGTTTTTTCAAAGACAGAAATGATTAAATTCCAGTTAGTTTTGAATGTTCTATGGTATAAAATATATTCTATCCATTTACGAAGCTGTTTGAGGTTTCTCGAAGAATGGGTTTTATACCAATACCACTCTCGATTATGCTCATACGGGTACTTAGCCAAACGTTCACACTTCAGAGCAAAACAAGCATAGCGATCTGTGGTATGCTGCCGTTTTCCTCTCATTCAATTTCTACTTAGAGTTTTAAGTGATCGCATGGCTGCTTCTGCTATCGATAAAGATTTGTAATGGTATAGTTTTACTTGGGAAGGCTTGTGTCCACGTGACTGCTTACCGGGAGTTGCAGGTGAACTTTTCGTTCTTCCTTATCTATAGATTGATTTTTGTTG